GCTCCTGCCTATCTCCTACTTGGAGGCAGTTGGAGCCCTCTTGGACTTCAAGAATGATCGCTACAACACAGCAGATGGCTACTCCGCTGCTATGGTCCGTCTTCCTTCTGGACATCGAGTCATTGACATTTTGAACTTTGATCGTCCGTGGGCCTTGCCTTCAAAGTTCTTGGACGAGAATGGCGACCCTTTTCGTCTGCCGGAGCCGAGTCCCAGCATCGAACAAAACTTTGGACCCAGTGGGGTTCCTGATGGCGAGGTTGCTTCTTCGATGCTGTCGCCAAAGGCATCGTCTATGACAACTTCGGTGTCCATGCCGACATCGTCTATGACAACTTCGGTGTCCATGCCGACGACGGTAATCCAAGCGGCATCCACAGCATCCCCAGGGAAGTTGGACGCAATGAGCTTGAAGCAAGCGCCAGCCTCAGAGTCCGTGGAGTTCATGGCGCAGCACTTCTTGTCCAGAGAAGACTTCACGTTCGAAGCCCTGGAGGTTCTGATAGACTTGCTGCCAAGGTCCTCCTCGAAGACGACAAGGGCAGTCACGCAGAGCGAGAGAGAAGACTCTAAGCGCTTTGTTGGAGGCGCCTACGTCCACGGTGGAGTGGCGGGCATCACGCAGTTTTCTCACTTGAGCCCGTCCTTCTGCAAGTACATGAACAATTGGGCGTTTCGTCACTTGCCAGAAGGTTCTGAAAGTGCTCAGTCGGGCTGGACCTCGTTTCAAGTCTCCTATGGGTTCAAGGCAAAAGTTCACAAGGACTCCCACAACGCCGGGAAGAACTTGATCACAGCTGTAGGGTCCTTCACAGGAGGCGAGCTATGGCTTGCTGGAGATTGCGGGGACAATGGCCTCCCTCGAGTGAAAAAGGTGGGCTCTCAATGGATCTCTGGCAAGGCTATTGACATCAAGCACAAAGTGTTTGAGTTTTCCCCCAAGAGTTTACATGCTACGCTTCCTTGGAAGGGTTCCAGAAAGTCGGTGACCTTTTATACTATAAGAGATTCCTTCCGTCTTTCTGCGCAACATTGGCAGCTTCTGGAAGACTTGCAGTTCCCTGTTCAGTACATGCCGAAGCCCACGTTTTTCCAGCTGTGTGATGATCCTTCGTCAGATGATCAAGATAGGATCGACACGTCGTCAAGAGCATCATGGCCGATAGCTAATATGCTCAAGCACCTGAGCTCTTGGATTTTGAAGTCCCGTTCGCGCCCGACTCCGATCAATCGCCATCATGGCCTCCTTGCAGAATCGCATCAACCTGATGGTGGAGTCAGAGTGCCCCGAGATGAAGCAACTCGGCGAATGGGGACACAACGCAACTTGGCTGCGTGGAAGCGTCTTGTCCGGACCCTCCTCTTCATGCTGGCGACGGCCCGCCAACAGATGATGCTGGACTACATCGTGAAGCGGGAGGACGAGCCTGCCAATCAGCCCAGCTCATCAACTACACCGGTGAAGAAGAAGAAGGACAAGAATCTACCAGTCAATCAAGGATTGGGTCGGCCACTACCTCGCTCGAAAGCGCAGGCAAAGTTCTGCAGGGAGCCGGAGGAGTGCAACCACCGCAGCGATGCGCTGCGTTGCCGAGCCAACTCCAAAGCAACGTGGTGGACGTGTCTGGATTGCGGCTCTCGGTGGCAACGTCCTGCCGAGGATCCGAAGACAACAAGGTCTACGACCTTCGAAGTCGACGAGAAGGCGGCCAAGATCAAGAACCGGCAGGGCCAGGAGTTTCCGAGATACCTCCCGGCACCACGAGGCCGACTTCAACAAGGTTATCGACAAGTCGAGGTGGATCCGACAGGAAAGCCGAAGACGATCACGCAGCCGCACCAGCAGACGGAAGAGACCGCATCGAGCCCTCCAAAACCAACAAGGACGGAAGCTCAACTTCCTCCTTCGGCAACCGCTCGCAGTCCGACGCTTGCAGCCGTGGATTCTCGTGGTGGGACAGCTTCTTCGCCAACCACATCCAGGATCCGTCAGACCTCCTCTGGGCTACGGGAGATTCAAAGGTCCAAGACGCCAGCGAGGCGAGCGGTGAGCGTCAATTCGGTGAAGTCGGTCGAGACGTGGGAAATCAACACGGACGACGAGACGGTCGATGCAGACATGCCGCAGCACCCCAACGTCAAGCACGAGCAGTGAAAGAAAAAGGGGCCAGGGTCTTCCTTCATGGCTCCTGTCTGGAATGCCCTGAAAGCCCCCACCTTTGGAGCCTGAAGCGTAGCATAGTTCGAGGTGGATGGCTGCTGAAGGCGGTGATGGTGTTGTTGACCACGGCCCAAACATCTTCATCGCCTATGGCATGGGCAGGTCTTGGAAAGCCCTCTGAGCATCTCTTCTGGACTGTGGAGACTCAAGAATGGACTTCAGCGACCTCTTCGACGAGTACGACATCTTCGACGTCGTCGGCGATGGTCACTGAAGAGGGCACAGCTCCAAGCCTCCCCAAGGGTGCGATTCACTGCTACATCTACGAGACGAAGGATGATTTGCAGAACTGGGCCACCGACCATGTAGGCAAGTCGACTGCCTTGTCCAAGAATCAGCGGAAGGTGGTGGCTGCAAGCATCAACAAGATGGATGTTGCGGAAGTGTACTCCCCCCCAAGGGTAACCAAAAGAGCTCGTCAGCATGGACTTCAGCCAGGATGGGCTTTGGACCTGGCCACTGGCTGGGATTTCTCCAAGAGATCTCATCGACGAGCCGCCCTCAAGCTTATCAGCAAGACCAAGCCGGCGGTTATTATACTCAGCCCTCCATGCTGTGTATTCTCCCCTCTCCGCAACCTGACCAACTTCAAGAGAGATCAGGTTGAAGTTCAACGTGAAGAAGAACAAGGCCAGCAACACCTTGATTTTGCGGTATCTCTCGCTTACATCCAAATGGAGAACGGGAGAGGTTTTCTGTTCGAGCACCCAAAGGGTGCTAGGAGCTGGCGCACCCCTCGCCTTCAGAACTTAGCCGCCAAGACCTCCGTGTACACCGTGCAGCTCGACATGTGTGCTTTTGGTCTGCAAGGATCAAAAGGCTTTCTCAAAAAGCCTACGCTGCTCCTTACAAACATTGAAGAGCTGGCGACAGCTCTGGCCAGACGCTGTAACCAGCAGCATGTGCATCAGCCCATCGAAGGTGGGACTTTGTCCAGAGCTTCGGCCCAGTATACGGATGCCTTTGTGGATGCGGTCCTTAAAGGGATCCGCAAGCACCTGTACTTTGAGGCAATGCACATCGACGACCTTCCAGACTTTTGGTCAAGATCTCAAGGACATTTATGTTGCAGACATTTTTCGCCTCGAAGTTCGCCTCCTCTTCCTTCGGAAAGCCCTTTTGATCTTTCCCTAATCAACCTCAGCGGCAAGCGCACTATCACCAAGCACTACGTCAACGGCGCAACGAAGATGGTGGAAGATGACTGGACCAAGTCGTCTTCGGCCATCGACTCGGTTTCTTGGACTGGGCTTACAGTGTTTGAGGTGAGACAGAATATCATGCTGCCGCAAAGTTTTCTGCAGCTTGCCACATGGCTCACTCAATCGTTGGCACATCCACTTTATGATTTCCAACGACAGCAATCCTGCTTTGCCGCAGAGTATATGCTCGTCTTCCCCTCGCACAAGATTTTGGGAGGCGAAGGCCGAGATCGACGGCAAAATGCACCTGCTTCCTCCTCCGGTCCAAGCACGACAGTGACAGCGGCACCAGAAGAGGAGGATTATGACGACCCAGAGTACGTCCCCGACTTCAATCACGACGACGTCTCAGACATGGAGATGTACGAAGATGAGGCCAAGGTCGGCAGAGAGCTACGAGAGATGGAAATCAACCAGCCAGAGGAACTGCCGATCCCGCCGGAACTTCGACGAGAGCTTTATCGAGTACATCGCAACTTGGGTCATCCAGACCGGCAATCCTTCTGTAGAGCTCTTCGGCACGCTGGAGTCAAGTCTGAATTCATTCGTTGGGTAAAAAGGCATTTCTCATGTCCGATCTGTGAAGGTCGGAAACGTCCAGCTCCCCATCGACCTTCGCACTTGGCCCGGGCGATGCCTTTCAACGAAGTCCTTGGAGTTGACTTGGTCTTCTATGAGAAGAGGATATTTCTCAACATGGTGTGTTGGGGAACCAACTTCCAAGTGGTCACGGAGATCCCCGATCGAACGTCTGAATCGACGCTCAAGGCGGTGATGGGTGAGTGGTTCAAACACTATGGATCGCCAAGACTGCTTGTTTGTGACCAAGGGCGTGAATTTGTGAGCTCAACCTTCTGCACCACAATCAACGAGGCGGGCACCATCGTTCATCTCGCCGATGCCCGAAGTCCCTGGCAGAACTCCAGGACTGAACGCATGGGAGGCGCTTGGAAGCAGCGCTTGGCTAAGATTTGCGATGAGACCTCAGTTGTCTCCGCCTTGGAGTTTGACCTGGCAGTTTCGGAAGCTTGTCGTATGCGCAACATGTGCTACGACCGATCCGGATTCACTCCGTCCCAGAGGGTGTTTGGAGTGAGTCCCAGAATCCCGGAGATTCTCCTCAACGATGACTACATTGACAAGGAGTTCCTCTCCCAGCCGACCTCCGACTACATGATCACGTCTTCGAGGATCAGAGCAGCCGCGCTCAAGGCTTGGCAATCCACTCAGGATTTTGAAGCGGTCAGCCGAGCAGCACGAACCAACTCCAGGACCATAGACAATGTCCCGCTGAAGCCTGGCGAAACTGTTTACGTCTGGAGGGTCACGACCGACTTTAAGGGATGGGTCGGTCCAGGTATTGTGGTTGCCGAGAGTGACAACCAACGGTCCCTCTGGATCAGTGTTCGGGGGTATCTTGTCAAGGCCTCTCGAGAACAAGTTCGCCGAGCCACGGCAGAGGAAAGCTTGGGCGTGGAGCTGGTCAAAGTACTGTCTGCTGAGCTCTTGGAAGCCTCGAAGGCGGCCGCCTCAGGAATTACAAGGACATCGAAGATGAGGGAGGTCCCGTTCAAGACATGGACGTGGCTGAAGAACCGAATGCCACTCTGGAGAGTGGATCGAATCTCCAAACCGTTCCTGAGAACGAGATGATAGAGGACACTGAGATGGATGCCAATGAGCCCGAGGAGGACCTGATGCATCTCCTCGATCCTCCCGAACCTCCCCCAGGTCAAGATGAAGCAACAGCTCGACCAGCAGAAGAGCAGAGCACAAGAGCCCCAACGTCAACTGCTCCGACTCCACAAGCCTCAAGGAGACAGCACCATTCAGGTGGACGAGGCTACTGGGGGCACATGGCCTTTTGGTCCGGCAAGAACAACGCCATCGAGGCCAATGCCATATCCCTTTGTGGAAGCTCCTCAGCCATTGCCACGACCTCCAGGGTCCACGTACTTCTTCGAAGCCCTTGATCGCGACGAGGCAGTCCGCTGGTGGAAGAACAAGGTCTATGACCGATGGGAGCCCATTGCCACATCCAAGCAGACCTTTGCCTGCAAAGAAGCATGTGCCATCTTTGTGACCTCCTCCAAACGCTTCTTCATCACCAAGAAGAAAGAAAGCCCTGGGGAAGTGGTTTTCAAGGACCTGCCTGAGAGGTACAAGAAGCTCTTCCGGAAAAGTCGCGACAAGGAAATCGAGAGTCTCCTCAAGTCTGGCGCCATCAAGATCCTCAGCCTCAAGGACTCCCGGGAATTTTTGCAGAAGTTCCCTGAGTATGTTCTCACGTCGAGATATGTGGATCGATGGAAGCCAACAGGATCCTTCTCGGTTCTTCCGGAGAATTGGGACCCCAACCATTACGTGGATGGGGGTGACAACATGGCTGAGCCAAAGAGTAGGTGGTGCGTGGTGGGGTGGAAAGACCCCCATGTACATGAGATCGAAAGAGCTGCGCCTACTCCTTTGACTTCCTCTTTATACTTGTTCTTCCAGCTTTCCGCGTGCAGAAGATGGCAAGGGCATGCTCGAGATGCCAAAACAGCCTTCTTGCAGGCCCGGCCGACTACAAGGCAACAGAAGCTGGCGTGCAAAATGCCCGCGGACGAGTGCTTTCCCCAGTACCACCCGGACCAGTTGATCCTTCTCCTGACAGAGGTCTATGGGTTGGTCTCCGGTCCAGCTTGGTGGAGACGGTCACTACTGGAGATCTTAGTCAAGGAGCTGGGCTACCGAGTCAATCCTTACGACCGCTGCATCCTCACCCTGGATGATGTAGAGGGCGACCCCGAGAACACCATGGTGGCCTACGGAGAGACATATCAGAAAACCAAGGGCATCATTGTCATCGAGGTCGACGACATCCTTGAAGCGGGTGAGGCGGACCATCGCAAAAAGATGGAGTGGCTCGAGAGCAAACTGCGCTTTGGCAAGATTGTCAATCTCATGGAAGCCAAGGAGGGCACTGGCTATGCGGGTCGTAGAGTGCGGCAGCTTGCCGACTTCTCCTTCACCTACTCGATGGACGACTATGTGCGGGACAGGCTGAAGTTCATCAAGCTTGAGAAGAAAGTTCTCAAGAAGGACGCTGCGACCCAGAAGTTGACTGCCGACGAAGAGCAGCAGCTGCGTGGGGCCCTGGCCTCCCTTAACTGGACAGTGCGGGAAGGGAGACCAGATGCTTCGGCTGCCGCAAGCATTTACGCCGCCTCCTTCCCTGGACCCACCGTCGCCAACGCCTTGGCAGTGAACAACGTCATCGGTAACTTGAAGGAGCACAAGGTCAGCCTCAAGATCCATGCTCTTCAAGAAGAAGAAGTGCGTCATCTGCTTATCGCCGATTCATCCTTTGATCCGAGTGGTAAAACCAAACCACAACACGGCTTCATCCAGGCGATGACGACTCCTTCTTTGAATGCTGGGGCCAAAGCTCCAGTTTCTTGGATTTCGTGGACCTCAAAAAGGCTACGCAGAAAGGCTGGTAACACTCTCCTCTGCGAAAGTATTGCCATGAGTAGTGCCCTTGGCGCGATGGAAAAGCAAGTCGCTCTCTGGCGGAGCATCACAAGAAGCCATTTCAAGCCAAGCTCATCAATGGTATCCCATGAAGTTGACCTAGGCTTACGTGGCCCTGGCACAGTCATCGCCAGTGAAGCAGAGTCCTACCGCGACCCGCTGACGGTGGCGCTGACAGATGCAAAGAGCCTCTTCGACGGCGCCAACCCCGAGCAGGCCCAAGGCGAGGATGCAAGATCATCACTGGAAATTGCGGTGATCCAGGAGAGTTTGGCGCAGTGCCGAGGCCGCCTAAGGTGGATTCCGCACAACCGGAATCCGAGTGACGCGCTGACCAAGGTTGAGAACGCGCACTGTGAGCCGCTGTTGCACATGATGAGCTCGAATCATCTTCAAATCGAAGAAGAAGCAGAGATCATCGCACGGGAGAAGCAAGGTGAGCACCGGCGGAAGACAAAGAATGTCTGAAGTGCGGACCAAATATAATATTATTTTGGGGGCTGAAAGCTCCAGTTTGCAAACATGAGTGCAACCAGACGTTTCCTCTTGGTCCGCAGGGCCCTTGAGCTCAGACCTACGCAGAGTAAAACTAGTGCTGCCTTTGCTGTTTGTGAACACAATGACAACCTAACTTCTGAAGTATGGGCCCCAAACCTCATACTCTAAGACGTTGTAACATTCCGGGAAAATCCACTTGCTGGGTCTCTGGGATCCGTGATTTCCGGCTTCCGCGGAGCGAGATGCTGGGATCAAGAGTATCTTCTTTGGCGCTGTGACTGACGGTGATGCTTTACCCTGTCAAAGTTGGAAGCTGATGATACTTTGTTTTGTGCTAGTACTGTACTAGGTTACGAACACCCCTCTGTAGCGTCCCAATGAGGAGCCGGTTCAGGCATGTTTGTGTGCGTAATGTTTGGGCTTTTCTTGGACAGTTTTGGGTTGAGGTTGAGGGTTTCGGTTGTGTTTAGGGTTTGGGGTTCTGAAGGTGTTGCTTGGCAAGCATGAGAACCCAGATAGATCTTGTAAGGTTTTCTTGGTTCATCAGTCCAACCCGAAACCCTAAACCCGGGGAGAGCATGTTTGAGCTCTTACCTGTCGCCGGGTTTGGGATTTCAGAGTTTAGGGCGGAGGTAAACCTAGATGGCAGGCAGGGGGTTTTCGGATGATAGACCTACTGTAGTAGTTTCCACACATAAGGGGGCACCAGAGTGCGGTGTAGGGCGTAGGGTTTAGGACCCCTTCAAGAAGGTATCCCTAATTTTTGGAAGTCCTCATCTCTATGAACTATTACATAAGCCCAGTTTCCATTTTGCATTTTCTTCTCCATTTATAAAGCCTAAACCCTAAATTCATTTCTGGGGGTAGCATCCGCAATGTTGGGAGGGTTTAGGGTTCAGGGGGTTTCTTAGACAAGTAGTTTAAGTCTTTGTCGGAGTCTTCCAAAATTAGGGGCACCATTTTCGGGATCCCCCGAACAAAGATTGTGGTACACTGGGGTCTGTGTTGTTTATGGAAGCTACCTTATATCTTCACCCCACAGCCCTAAGCAGGAAATGTTGTGCAAGTGTGTGAGGCGGACTTGCTACTGAATGGGAGTGTTCGTTCTTGGCTTGCAGTATGAAAGCCTTCCCCCAATGCTGAAAACTCTGGAAATGGTTCCGACCCTAAATCTTAACCCTGTCTTACTGGTTGTAGGGAACAAGGGAACATGATTGCTATATGATATATATATATAGACATTTCCCTACTCCTTCTAATACTAACCCTAAACCCTAATATACTACTCCCCTTTTCCCTACTAACCACCCATAGGCAGTTGCAGCGTCCGCGCCTTCCCGCTTCCAACCGGATGCGTAGTTACGTAGTGCGTGGTTTTGGTTTTGGGTTTAGAGCTACAGGGTTTCTGAGATTGACCCTTCGGATTTGGATGGCTTCTTGGTGTCTACCCAGACCCCCGAAGCAATCCCAAAAATAGACCCCAAAACAAGAAAATGACCTCAATCTGACGTTGGTGAAGCTAGAGCATTATCGGGAAAATCCTTTTTTATGCTTTAAGGGGTCTGGGTAGCTAATTATTAAGCACGAGATTCAGAAAGGATATACATTCACGGAACTCTATAGGGGGTCATATCCCCAGAGCTACAGGCAGATTCTGGCAGCCAACATTGTGCTAGCGTTCCAGGGAAGGTTGCGAAGGGTTCAATCTCAAAGCCCTAGATTAGGTCATTCCCCCTCACAGAAATTGGTACCCATAGGTAATAAGAGCTATAACAGCCCCTTAATAGAGCTCCTTTCAAGACACTTACTGTAAGGGGGGGGAAAGGCCCTAGCCCAAGATCTTTTTCATATCGCCACCCGATCGAGCCAACCCTAAACCCAAAAAGTGCAGAGAATGGAGGCCAAAAGCTGGAACTTCTGGGCATGTCATGTAGCATGAAGCAACTGTCTGAATCCGGCCCCACAGTACCAAACATGCTGTTTGCTGTGACGTCCAAGTTTGCTTTCAGGTTCGCGTTGGGTTTAGGGTTTAGGGCTGACATTAAACCATCCACCCCCTAATGTTCGATGTTCCCCATTGTGGTATATTAGAATATATTCGGGAGTATTGAATATTAGGGTGGGGGTGGGGGGGTTGGAGGGGTTGGGGGTTGATTAATATTAGGCGGGAGGGGATTAACAAGCCCGACATGAACCAGAAGGTTTACCTTGCAGAGGCCCTGGGTTCTGGAAACTGGAAATCCTAAGCCTTACTTGGATGATCATTTGACATAGTAAATCAACCTCCTATCTCTAATAACCCATCTTAATAAAGTTCTTTATAGCCCAAGTTACAACGTAGACTTACTAAGTCAAGAGATCCTCCAAGCCCCTAAACCCGCAATCCTAAACCCTTAACCACATCGTAGCAAACTGCCCAGCGTTTATAGTTTGAGGCTTTTGCTTTGCAAAGACTTCAGCGTCTGCGAAGGGTTTAGGGGTTTAGGGTCTAGAACAAACAAAAACTAGGCCATGCACTATCCTTCTTACAGGAATTTCCCGAAAGGTTCCTTATGTTTGCCACCCCTATCTACGCACCCTCGAAAGAAACACGCTGGAGTTAAAATGAGAATTGCAACGCTAAAGACACTGAGAACAAGCGACAGGAAGAATGGTAGCAACAAGTATTGAGAAGGATATGATCTGTGGTCTAAACTCCTCAAAGGGGGTTATATAGGGGATTATAGAGGGGACTACTATAAGGGTTATTAAGGGGGATACTAGGAGTTTAGACTATGGCTCATATGACGAGATTGTCAGCCATGATGGTAAGAAATGGTAAGCAGAAAGGTGAAGCTTCACAGCTTTTTACAACCACATGCGGCTTAGTACCAGTACAGGGGATACTACCCCAAGCCATGTTGCATGTTGCTCCATCTCGTACAGAACTTTAGATTTTGTACTTTACAGATACTTAGGGCCCTTTGAGATAGATGAAGCTTAGGGTTCAGGGTTATGGTTTTAGGGTAAGAGGTCCCCCAGCTTCATTGGAGGCCTCACGTCCTGTCCAAAAAAAACTCGGTGCTTCTGAAGACAGTGCCGTTTGCGGGGCATCCTCGATATCATGTTTTCATAATGTGGGTTGAAATAGTTATACGGATATCCCTACTAGTATTAATGCTATAGGGTTTTGGGATCTATCACTATTTGTAACGCCAACACGAGGAACAATCCCTAAAGCCTAAACCTGCGGATGTCTCATGAGCGAATCTCACCCTGAAACTTGACTCCCTTACAGAGCCGTTGGAACTGCATAAAGCAGCATATGAGCTATACTCTACACTCCTTGAAGGGGATGTTATAGGGGTTAGGCTTTATAGGGTCTAAACTCCTTCAAGGGGGTTATATAGGGGGGGATTATAGGGGGTATTAAGGGGGATACTAGGAGTGTAGACTATAGCTCATACGGTCTTGACAAGCTGGCGCACCTCAATTTGTGGCACTTGCTCGGAGAGAAGGCAAGGAATATGGGAGCTCCCCAAACTTAGAGACACCCTTTTCTGGGGTCCCTATAATTAGTATTATAGTATATCGGGATCTATACTAGGGTTTCCCGGTTTAGGGGAGCTACCACGTATGTAGATGGTTGATCACCCCGGAGCTTGTGGGAATCAACCTTTTGCTTCAAGCAGTGATTCCTTTGGTAATGGTATGTTACGGTATGTTACGGTAGTTTTTTCAAATAAATGGCAGATACAGGGACCCCAATTTGAACCCAACCATATTATAATCTCTATTATCAGGAACCCCGGAACAGGTACCCCTAATTTTGGGAAATCCCATTATTGTGTAGCACAGGCATTCGAGCCCCTTGGCAAAATTCCCGCTGTGGTCGGAGGGGCTGCATGGCTCAGATCGGCTGCAACCTGACATTTGGGTGCTTCTCAGCCGCGGGTCCTTGGTGGATATTTGAAATCCTGCGTGGGTCTAAGTACCTTATACCTTGGGACTTATGGTATTATACTATATTCAGGTAATGCATGACCTTTAGCATCAGCAGTTTTGATGGCGGCTTCTTGAGAATGACAGAGCCACCGTTTCTTCCAGAGAGGCCCTCTCAACAAGTGTCCTGATGCGCAATATTTTTCAAGTGTGACAGATTTTTCTGAATTCTTGGAACCTGTAAAGGGGATATGCTGTAGATTCATGGCACAAGTGTTCCGCGCGTTAAACAATATCACACAAAGTTTTGCTTGGCAGCTATCTTTCTGGTGTGGTCAAGCCTGACTACCTCAATAAGGGGATGTAGGCTACCCAAACCAGACACCAAAATGAGGACCCTACAGTATACGTATCCTACGATTCTGAAGCTTGAATTTGCCCAATTTCTGTTATTATACAGAGCTGCAAAGCATCCTAAGCCCAAGGCTTTAAAACACACCGGAGTCCTGAGTTAGAGGGAATCCTAAACCCTAAGCCCTAAGACCCCAAACCCTAAACCTAGCAGGGTAGCCCGAAGCTCCAAAACACTAAGCCCTAGGCCCCCATGAACTGTAAGCCCTACGACCTTAAATCCCTAAACCCCAAGCCCCCTAAACCCTGAAACCTTCATCCCGAAACCTCTACGTAAGGCCCCTAAAACCTTAACCCCTAAACCCTAGACCCTGTGCCTAAACGGCCCCGGCCTAAATGAGCCATAGTCTAAACTCCTCAAAGGGGGGTTACATATGGGATTAAGTAGGGGACTACTATAGGGCTCATTAAGGGGGATATTAGGAGTTTAGACTATAGCTCAAATGGCCCTGATACCCATGTTGAGAAGCAACCTCGCACGCAACACCCGGCAGCCTGTCTTTTTGTTAAGGCCCTGAAAGATGAGGTTTCTCAAAAAAGTCAGATTGGGCATAAGGCGCATAAGGTTTAGGGTTTAGGGTGTAGGAAGGTGCATAAGTTAGGAGGACCCCCGACCCTGTAATAGTGGTATAATAGGA